CGTGGGGCTCCAGGCGGCAGCAGCTCCTGGAGAAGTAGGTGGGGGCAAGGGGTGGGGGCCCAGAGGGGAGACCAGACCGCTCAGCCTGGACATGCTCCCCTCCTAGCCGGCTCCCACCCCACCCACCCCAAGCCGGCTTTTTCCTGTTGTTTGTGATGGGGAAAGCTCGGCTGGGTTCCTGGAAGAGACGCTATTACCTAGGCTCCCGAGGAAAGGCAGCGGCCTGTGGACCTGGGGCCTGCCTCTGGCCTCTGCCTGTCTGGGCCGTGCTCGCTGCCTGGGAAGAGGTAGGTGGCAGGCTCTGCCCCTCTCGTCCCCTCCCTGACACTTTAGGCCACACATCTGCCTGGCAGAGAGGCTTTGGTGGTGGCACCCCTGGGGAAGGGGTCAGCTGTGGCCCCTTGTTCAGCGGGAGAGCAGGCCTGGGTGGCTGGACCCTGGGACAGGCTGGGTTGGATCTGAACAAACCTTCTTGGGAAAGAGGAGCTGGGGCATTTTGATCACAGGGGTCCACGCTGCACCCCAACACCCCTCCCCTGGCTACTGCGCCCTGTCCACCTGTCTGCTGCCAGTGGTCAGAGTGGTGGGTCCTTGGGCAGGGGCTGCAGGGGCTGCTTCCTCTGCTGGATGCTGGGAAGAGTGCCTCACCCAGCCACCCTCCCTCCTTCCAGTGCCCTCGGGGGTGGGAGCACCTTGTTTAGGGGGAGCTGATGCTGTCGCTTTGGAACCACGCTGGATGGAGAGGGTCCCGGGAGGTCCCTCCCAGCCCGCGGACCGCTAGCTGGGCCCTACCTTTATTTCTGGCCAGGCTGGGGTGAGGGCCCAGCGAAGAATGGGGCTGGGTGGTAGGTGCAGCAGTAGGCCTAGCCTGGGTGCAATGCCTGGGCTGGGTCTGGAGGTGCTTAGAGTCTGGGGGCGGTTCTTGGGCAGCCCCCTCCCCAGCTGCATCCTCCCTGGCCTGACAGGTCTTCCTTCTCGGCAGACGCACCTGGTGTTTCTCTCCCAGGGGCCGGTTGCCTGGTTGTGAGCTGGGAGCAGAGGCAGGTCTAGAAGGAAGGTGTTGACTCTGAGAACGGGGGACAAGGGGAAGCCCCCGAGGACAGGGAGGGAGGGCCGTGTGTGTTGCGTGCACGCGCACAGCTCCAGAAGGGCCTCAGCACGTGGTGCGGGGGGCTGTGAGCCGACCAGGCGGATGCCAAGGGGAGGATCGGTGGGTGGGTGCCAGTGGGCATCAGCCGCACCACGCGTCACGGTGTGGGGGCTGCCGGGGAGCGGGGGTGCGATCTGGCAGGCAGGCCCATGTGCGTGCATTCTGCAGCTGCGTTTCCACAGGGTGCTCTGCCCACACACCTGTGATCTGTGTAACCCGGCCTCTCCGTGGCCAGGGGTCAGACCTGGCGGGCCACCCACCTGTGGGGTATCCACAGAGCCCTAGAACCTGGATGTATAGACACTGAAAAGAGATCCCCAGAATCCAGAAAGCTGCGTTTGGGAGGCAAGATCCTTCCACCCCAGCTCTGCGGAACACGCTGGGGACCTAAGGGCTGGGGGCGGAGAGAGTGGGGACCTCGTCAGAGGGAGGGTGTAGAGTGTGTGGAAACCATGTGAGAGGGAGGCCCGAGAGAGCAGGGGCACTGGTACCCGTGTGTGGGCGGGAACGGGCAGCGGCACCCGGCTGTCCTGTCCCCCGGCTACCCCTGCCTGATCAGGATCGGGGTGCCAGGGGACCCTCGTCATAGCAGGCAGAAAAGAGGTGAAAACCTCAGCTGGAATGGGGAGGGAGAAATGGGAGCAGAGGAAGAAATGAGACTTTGCAGCCAGGAAGGACTCGGGGCTGAGGCTCGGCCTATGTGAGCCATTGCCCAGAGCAAGCCCGAGCCCTCCCTGGGTCCTTCTGGGTGAGTGAGCATGGCACCCTGCCCCATCCACCCGCCCCCCACCACCACACACAGCAGC